GTCCCCAACTCAACGTCTACGTCGCCCGGATCAGCTTTCACCATCAAATCCAAAAAACCGAGACGCCCCTTCGAACCGCCCCCAAACCCTCACCGCGGCCAACTCCTTCCTGCGCATCTACGCGAAGCCCTTAGGCGGTATAAGAGGGATGGCGAAGGAGGCGGTGTTGGGTTTGGGGCGTTGAGCATGGGTAGTACGGGCGTAAAGGGCTCGTTTTCATGCGGGGTTCGAGGAGTTGGAGGTAGGAGACTATTTCGATAACTTAAATGTGGACGGGGGTTTTTGTGGTTTTTATGGTTTTGCCTTAAGTTTTGGGGGTTGGGTTTTGGTTCGTCGGTTGGTTAATTCGTTTGAATGCCAGAGGCTTCATGAGAATGGGAATATAGGAGTAAATGGATGGAAGCAACTGGGGTTTCGATTTTTTTCTTCTTCTTCTTTTTAACTGTCTATATTCAAATTAGTGGCATCGATTTTCAAGGGTGATGGGATGGGGTGCACAATTTTACTTTGCACAATTTTGCTTTCTCTGCTCCATTGTTCGGGCAGGGTCATACACGGCAATAATGGGTGTATTTCATTTCAATATCGGAAGCCATAATCTGCCTGGACGGGCTGTTTTGATGGGAGTTCAGTTTGGGAAAAGGGATTGAGATGCTCTTATTCCATTCATCCATTGAGGCAAAGAGAGTCATGGCTATTGCACAGATATGTAAGATCAAGCGCACATAATTCGACGGAAACCAAACAACAGTTGATCAGTGCATACCAACTCGTCTTTGCTTTTGATTATTTTATTTGATATTTCTAATATTTCCCCAAATTCATTCCACGGAATTCGTACAGTACATTGTTTGTGTTCGGTCTCTGTAATACATACAGCACGTTGTGCAGTTGGGGGCAAACTGGCTAGCTTATATAGCCCGCCCTGACAACGCGGAAATAGCCTCTGCGTTTGGCCAGTATGGGGATATAGAAATAAAATCTATGCGAAAGGGGGTGGGTGAGGAAAAACATCAGGCAAGTAATAAAACCGGGTTAAAGGGTTGGAAAATAACACCAAAATGCACAAGAGGCAAGGCGAGAAAAAAAAAAAAGGTGAAAGGAAGAGAAGAGCTGGAGCCAAATGCTGAAAGTTTTAAAAAAAAAGAAAGAAAGAAAAGAAAAAAAAGAAAAAGAAAAGAAAAAAAGGACTCTCACGCTATTTCAAGTATAAAGTACATGTAAAGTTCGGAGAAGTATAGCGGACCTCTTTAGCAAAGAGATGGGAAAAGCAAAAAAATAAAAAAGGAGGTCCTGAGAACGAAATGAAAAACGGCATTTTCGTAGTCGCTCATATCTCTCTCTGTTTCCGCTTCTTCTCCACAGCTTTCCGCCTATATTCCATTTGTCGCTCTTTATTCCGCGTCTCTCGCTCAATGGCGAGTTCTTCCCTTCGTCTATTCTCATAAGCAATAGCGTCCTCAAGCTGTTTCTTGGTCATGCGGGCCTTGGGAGTACCGTCGGCATATTTCTCGACCTTGTTGTTTTGACCAGTGTAGTTCTCCATCTTCTTTCGGGTACTTTTAATGGACTTTTGGAAGCTGGAAAGGAATCGGTCAATGAAGCTGGCTTTTGGCACGGTCTCGATATGGGTAGGGGATTGTTCAGAGTTATTTGCTCGAGCTTCGAGGATACGCACTTTTGGCTCAGTAACGCCGGGAGTGACAGGGCGACTTGGGAACGGCGCCATTCCGGTCATGGATCGGAACGAAGAGTTTCGGAACGCGTAGGATTGGCCTATTGCTAGTACTGACGTTGTAGCAAAGAACATTTGGAGGATCCCTGGAAGGAATGATGTGCAAATGGCCGATAAGACTGGCAAACCGTAGAGCATAATGGGTTTGGCCATCATCGTGGTAGGGTCATTTGCACCAGCGGTTTCACCACCAAGCTGATTAAGACCATTAGAACACTGAATAGAGGGAGGGATGGAGAAAGGGAGAGTGTAATGTGGTAGCTGGGAGAGTATAAAGTTATGGCGGATGAACGAACCTTGAAAGTATAATGCATTACAACTCCCGTTGTTATGGGGAGAATGAAGTAGGGATCATGCAGTGTCACATTATGAAGCCAAAGGAAACTCTCTGAATCCAATCCAGGCACTGGCAATGCAGACATGCCCCGCAAGACTCTGAAGGCGCCGAAACTGAGTGGAACCTGCACCAAGGGAAAGGCCAATTTCAAGAGTTTTATATTGTGTGTTTCATTGATAATTTTCCGTTCCTGCTGGGCACGCTGCATGCCAACGGTGTCATTTTCTCTATAGCACCGTTGGACCTCCTCTTGGAGTGGTTGAGTTAGGTGCTTCACACTGGCTACCTTGGCTGAGGTATCGGACGCATCCATGGCAAATTTCAACACTAGGACACGCAGGAACACCGCAGTACCTATCGCAGCACCCCACCATGGAAGCCCACCGTAAATATGGAATGATTCCAGTATGGTTTCTATTACCCGTGAAGGGCCCCATCCATAATCTAAGCCGACTGCTTTTAGGTAGCCTAGCTTTTCAGGAATTCGGGAAATGTCCACGCTTGCAAGGTCCGCGGCAGAAAGCAAGTCAAATGACTGGGCACCACTAGATATCGGCGTATCTAAGACGGTGTCCACAGATACAGATGTTGCAGGGTCGCTTGGTGGCATAGGTGTCGTCGCTGTAGAATTGAAACGAGCGGATGATGGCCCGGCGGAGTGAAAGAGAACAGGGCTCCATAGTGATATCCTTATTAAGCCGGAGGTATTTTGTATCCGGGGTCGCGATCGCGATTGAAACGACTTCTTTGGTGGTATAAATGTGGAGAGCTAAAAGATGTAAGGTAGTTAGTAAGTTTAGCTGTCGCATTTGCGATGCAGATGCAGTAAATACTTTGGGGGGAGAGACACTGACCGAACGGCAGGAGTCGTATGAAAAGTCCAATGTCCGTTTTGACCTACCAGACACAGCGACCCACGGCCTGACGGCTGCCTTGACCAGCATTATATAAAATTATGGGAGCCGTGTAATGCGACTCTGGCGTTGTAGGCGTGCTGTTAGGCCGTTGAGTGTTTCGTGGTTGAGGGTCGAAGTCGGCCAAAAAATTTTGATGAGGCTCCGAAAGTCTGCGTTTTGACGTTCTAATAAATAATATGGAATATTTAGGGTTTGCCGACTCCGCAAAACCATCCATGAATATCACTCCAACGGCGAGATGTACATTCTAGGGAGAGCTTATCTACAGTAATTGTTGGTTTACTATTTCTATGTTATGTTCGCCCTGTTGCCTCGGGTTTAAAGAGAAACATAGAGTGTACATGCATGCAACAATTTTGCAGTTAGCTACTATGCTTATTGAAACATCAGCATTAGGAACTTTCTAGACGCCATTCGCCAATCCCAGAATTTGGAATTAGATAGCATGGTACAGTACAATAAACTATCAACAGTGGGGGGGACAGAGTGTACAGAGCAAATCCCAACATTACTGTTTGGGATGAAATGAGCTCCCATTCTATAGTCAAATCAATTTTATGCGGCCCTACTCCATCGAGGCCATCGAACCCATCGAACCCATCGAACCTCGATCAAACCTACTCCGTGGCCGCGTCTCACGCGGGGCTTCGCGGACTTCAATACCAGGTCCGAGCGGATGCGATCGCCGATGAGTGGGAAATATCTAATCAGTGAGGTGGACATCTTAGCACTCAGTCCTAAGGAGGCGGATCTCTCGAACAAAATGTCCGCTTGCCGTTCGGCTATCCCTGGTCGCTTCCCAATAATAGAATGAATCTCAACGGCGCACGGAAGGTATTACCTTTGTACCAGACCACCCTAGCCTGAATGCAGCCTCATGAGCCAGCAATTCACCAAATCCCAGCATCAAGCCATTGACAAACGGGAGGACAAGATTGATAGCCATGCTTCGCAGGAAACCCCAGAATGTCGGCGGCTTGTAGAGGATGATAGGAGAACTGGAAGAGGAGTGGGGTGATAAAGACAGCTCATTGTTTGCTGAGTAGTTCTCTGAGTCAGAGGGCAGAGTTAAAGCAGAATCATATAGTTCTATCCGCGATTGCGAGTCATCTCCGGACGCCATTGTTGGAGATGGATACTATGTGAAGTGTGAGTCCGGGGGAGGAATAGCCGGAATCCAGCACTGTTGGGCAAACGTCGGGGAAGACACAGCATAAGCCAACGGTGGGAATGGCAAGCGACCCGCAAGTGTGCGAAGTGTAATGTGTATATGGTCTCTGATGAACGATATATCTTGATCAACATCGACGACGATCTAAAGAGGAACCTTAAAACCAATTCCAAGTCACCTGACTAGTTACCAAAGGTGATAGATTCAATTCAATTCAATTCAACCCTAAGCACCTGCCAAGGCACTCCAATCATAATATGTTTCTGATTCGAAATTAGAAATTTTAAGCTGTATTTTCTTCATTTTGCGGAATTTCTTCAGAATTTCGCAGTTGAACTGTACGTAACCCTTGGCTAGGCAGCCGTGACGTCTTGCTTAGGTCAGCAGACTTGTGTTGCCCTCTCTTGAAGCTTGACAGCAATGAGGCAATACGTTCATCTGCTCGCATCCTCGTCTCATTCTGCTCAATTCTGTTTCATGTGCCTAAAAGTTATCCGTATTTCGAGCGCGTTTCTCTTGTTTAGCTCTATCTTAATTCCCTGGGCGAGCAGCGGAGTGTTTGCTCATATTTAACATGAACGCCCCTCCTCAGGCGGAGCAGGACGATTTGATCTCCCAGCTCTGTGGTGTTACGGGTATTTCCCCTGCGGAGGTAAGCGAATCATTCGTGTGGCAAGTGACAGATGCATTCAATGATGCGCCTACTGATTTCGTATCTTTCGACCAGGCCAGAGAATACCTAGCAACAAATAACTGGGACATACATGATGCACTCGCGGATTACTTTCCTGAGCAGGACGATAACATGCGAGACGACTTGGAGTCTGATGATGAGCCAGCACAGTCTTCAGGCGGCCCGAACTCTTGGCGGCACAGCGCCTCCTCCCTCATCCGAACCCAATGTGCGGAGAGCTCCCAAGAAGAAGTTCGCAACGCTCAGCGATCTAAGCTTCAAGTGATGCTCAGGGCTCATGATCATAGTGATGACGACATGATGAGGGGCAAGATATGTTTTGCTGG